GTCCTTTTATTATTCATATATTTCATTATATTCATATTTTTTACAAACTGGACATATTTGTGAAAGAAAAAGAGATATAAAAGTGCGTAGTGTTATTAAAAATGTAATAGTTGACAGAAATAATAATCAAAAAAAGTTTTATAAGTGTCAAAGAAAAGTTAAAGAGCTAGAAATCGTTTATACCATAGAAGTAAAATAGTAGTAAATACTATGAAATCTCCGTTTTCCACATATGAAACTTTATAAACTGCAAAGAAAAAAAACTTTTTATAAAAAAATTTTTTTTTTCTAAGATCTTAAACGTATATTGCAGGTGTTAAATTACGTAATTGTATAACAATATGGTTGCATTTTATTTGATATAAAAACATGATCGACATGGCTTATATATAAATGTTGCGCCGCATTTTATTATATAAATTCTATCGATCACATGCGGATCGGCAATTAATTATTTTTATATATAATTGCTATAATACAATTATTTTGACTTCTAGTGACCCAATTTTAATAAACTTTTTTTTTAATTTATAGCTCTCATTTAGCTTTAAAAAATTTAGCTTTATAAAACAAAAAAGAAGTTTGTTTAAATTGAATCACTTGAAGCCAAAATAATTGTATAATATTAATTATTATATATATTAATAATAAAAATTTTTTTAACCAATCAGATTTAATCAGATAGGAGTGGATTCAAAGCTACTAATTAAAAAAAATCAGCTGATTTCTGGCATGCCCTAATAGTAATTAGTAATAATTGATATTTATTTTATAATTTATATAATAATAATTTTAAAAAACTTTTATTAGTAATAATATTTATAATTAATTTATTTATTAAATATAATAAATATTAATAATATTATATATCAAAAAGAATTATTTTATTATTATATTTCTATTATATAATTTTATAAAGTTTATTATAAATTTATTAAACAATAGGATTAAAAGAAGAATACTAGACTCTAACCATCCTTTATGAGTATTTATTAGCTTTTACAACTTTAAAAAAACCTTTTCAAAATTCATTATTGACATATGACTTTTTGTTATCTTTATATCTAATTGGATTTTGTATAGCTATTAAGCAGTGTTATTACAGGACAATATTCAGAATATGTTATATAAAAAAAAAATGATAATCCCTTGAAATTTTTCTATAATAACCTTGTTCAATATTCAGCAAAAATATTTAACATCTAATTATACATAAATATATATAATTTTTAGAGTTTTTTAAGTTATAGAAGAGTACAGACAGAACGCAAACATATTTGAGATAACCAAAAAAGGCTGCAGATATCATAACATTGATTATTAAGTATTTTGGAATATACTGTATATATACTTAAAAGAATATTAAATTACTAATTATTCAATATATAAAGGTTTCCAATTAAAAAAAAATGGTTTATAAAATTTTATTGACCTGAAGTTAAAAAAAACTGCCTATAAAATTTTACTAATTTAGGATCAGAAAAAACTACTATGAAATTTTATTAACTCAGAATTAGCTAATAACTAATTACTCATGAAAAATACCTAACTGCTTATAATTAGTAATCATACTTATTCAGCTATTTCTTGCTAAATAACTAATTTTCATTCTGGTATTTTTCTATAAGACTAATAAGATTTTTATATATAGTAATATATCAGTGATTAAGTAATATAAAAAAAATTTTGTCTAACTAGATTTAATACTTTATATCAATAAGAAATAAGAGGATCCTGCTTACTATTAAGATAGATCACTCTATGGTCTAAGCTTCTAAGGTAAGGTTTACATATAAAACTCTTTAAAGATTCTACTATAAAAGGAAATTTTATGTTACATTGTTATAATTTTTTTTCTTTTAGTTAATTAACCAATTAAATTTAAAGAAATTTTAAAGTAAGGTTTCATATAAAAGTAAAATTTTCACTAATAATATATTTTAATAGTAAGCAGAATTTTAAAACAAGTCTTTTTTTCTGATAAAATTAAAAGATTTTAAACTTAGGATGCTTATATAATATTTTGATTTTTTTAGACTTTTAAATCTTTATAAAATACAGTTTAATTTTAATATACTGATATTTAATATATTAATATACCGTAAAATCTTGAATTTAAGCACTCTCTTTTTGCAGTCATGTGATAGACAAAATTGGTAATAGTGCTTAATTTTGATTTTACTATTAATTTTTTTAATCAACGTACATTAACGTACATCTTACCCCTATTTCTTTCAAAAATTCTTCACGTGTTTTAACAATATTTCTAGTAGAAATGACGCGTAAAAAAGTGGATGTAAGACAACGTATATCATATTCACTTGAAGAAAAATTAATAGTAGTTAAGTATGCCCAAGAAAATGGAAGAAATGCTGCAGCAAAGCATTTTAATTTAGACGCACCTATGGTAGGAAGATGGATAAGACAAAGTTCTAAATGGGAAGAGGAAAATAAAAAGAAAAAACGTTCTGGAACTTCAGGAAGAAAAGCCTTTTATCCTGAAGCAGAAAAGATTTTATATAGTTGGATAATAGAACATTGGAAAAAAGGGTTTGCTGTTAATTATATCTCCATAAGATTACAAATGTGTAAAATTCTTAAAGAATCTTCAATTCAAGCATTATATCTAGCGGGAGAGTATGAATTCTAAGGGAATCTTTTTTGGATTAATTCTTTTATGAAACGATTTGGATTGTCATTAAGGAGAAAAACCAAAATTTCTCAAAAATTGCCTGAAGATTTAGAAGAAAAATTAGATGAATTTAGACAATATATTATAAGACTGAGAACACTATATAATTTTGATTTGAATAGTATTTTTAATATGGATGAAACTCCTGTGTGGTTTGACATGGCAGGAAATATAACTGTTAATAATAAGGGTGATAAAACAGTGCATATTCGTACTACTGGAAATGATAAAAATCATTTTACCGTAGTTCTAACTTGTTCTGCAGGTAAGAAGTTTTATTTTTTTATTTTTTTATATTTACTTTAATTATTTTATATATCAAATTAATAAGTTCATTGTATTTATTTATAGATGGAACAAAATATCCACCAATATGTATTTTTAAAGGTAAACAACTTCCAAAAAGTGAAGTTATTCTAAAAGGTGTTATTTGTTGATTTCAAGATAAAGGTTGGATGACTTCAGACTTAATGAAGAATTACATTGATTTTTTATTTAAAATTTGGATGTCTGAAAATTTGTCAAAAGAACCTGCTATGATGTTGTATGATTCTTTTCGTAGTCACTTGAAAGAAAGTGTTAAAGAAGCTAAATTTAAACAACATAATTTTCAATTAGCCGTTATTCCTGGAGGATTAACTAGTGTATGTTAACCATTAGACGTATCAATAAACAAACTTTTTAAAGATAATTTACAAAAAGAATGGCACGAATGGATGTGTAAAAGTGGTTCAGGTGTAACTGAAGGGAGTAACTTAAAAAAAGCAAGGATAAGTGAAGTATGTGGATGGGTCAAATGATCTTGGGATGCCATTTCAGATCAAATTATTTTTAATTCATTTAAAAAATGTTCTATTTCAAATTTATTGGATAGATCAGAGGATAATATGGTCTATGAAGAAATTGATAGATTGATCGCTGAGTATGAAAAAGAAAATTTAGAAGAGTTAGGTGATGATGTTGAAATTGTCTGCAATTAAATAACCAAATAAAAAATTTTCTTACATTCATTTCGATATTGTCAATGAGTTTATTGTCATAGTTCTGT